AGACCACTATATGTGGACCTGGAAATATTAAAGTGCGTGACAATTGATGTCTGTGTGAGTCAGGTTACATTCATTTCCTGGGGGTTTTGGCGCACTTGGTAAAGGTCAGTGTTTGACTTTATATTTCACTAGTAAATCTAACAGGTAAATTCTTGTTCTGTACCTTGCGAATGTGCATGTTGTGAATCCATCCGGTCTGCTTCAAGACTCTTCAGTCCTTGCTGAAAACCATCTGTTCTCATCAAAAGGTTAGCACAGTCCTGCCCTCTCTTGCTTATACTTCTAATGCTCTTTCACAGAATATGAAAACAATTTTTCTTCTCTGCTCTGTCTGCTTAAAATATGCATGTTTCTAATATCTACCAATGATTATTTTTAGATATTCATTTTTGTTTATTTTTTGTTGTTACTTTTATATTCCTATACATTTAATTGCTCTGTTTTATTTCCTTACTCAAAATATTTGTAAAGAGGTTTCTCAGACTAGAAAACTGGTGGTGTTTACATATAAAACTGTTTTGCTTAGTCTGTTTCGTATATAGTTGGAAACCATCCGTTTTAGCTTAGAGCACCATCACTGTTGCATCAAGAGGTTAATAGTGGAAATCAACTTGCCTGTCTTGGACTTGATGCTTTCAAACATGTTTTCAGGATAGGAGGAGTATCCAGGTCACCCTCAGTTGATTTAATCCTTTACATCAGAAGCTCTCAATTTAGAATACTGTGTCAATAGACAGGAACCTGCAGAGAGATTGCTCAAAGGAGTAATATGCAAAACCAATGCTTGTTATATCACTGATGTTTTCAAATTTCAAATACTTTTTACTTCTTTGTGTGTGCAGGATCAATATTTGGATATGGATTTTGCAAACATTACTATCGACTCCTTCAAAGCAATCAGCTGCAGCCAGAAAAATGAACTCACTCTCCCACTGGACCACAACCCTGACTTGAACTGCTCGCACATCCACAGTAGTACCAAGGTTGTCACGGCTGTCTTCCCACATGTGTTCTATATCCTTTCTCTGCTGGGCATCCTGGGCAACCTGCTGAACATCTGGACTTGTGTGTGGCATGCCACATCCTCTACCATTGCTACCATTGGCATTCTGAAGCAGGCACTCTGTGATCTGGCCTTCCTTGCATCCATGCCAACCTGGGCTATTTACCCGAGCAACATGGGCTATCTAACGTGCGTCATCATGAACACCTGCTACTTCCTGGTCTTGACTCCCAGCACCATGTTCATCGGTGCCACCACTTCCTGGCAATTATGCTCTTACTGAGGTCTCGGCTGATCCAGACACCCAGGAATGTTGTCCTGGTCTCCCTCATGCTCTGGGCTTTGACAGTCCTCCTGATCTACCTCAGCTTTCCCAGCATCTTGTACAGGAAACACAGTGATGGGACGCATTGTTGTGGGGCTCTGGTTTTGACACAGGTCTGCTCCTCCAGAGCCGTGTACAACCTCCTGTCCTACTACTTGCTCCAGCTGGCTGTCCCTTTAATCATCGTTATCCCCTCCTACACCAAGATCGTGATCAGGGTGGTGCAGTCACGCCAGAGGTGGGGGAATGAAAATGTCGATGGCCAGTTCAAGACCATCCGGCTGATCATGGTGCATATCGCGATCTTCCTGGTGTGCTGGCTGCCTGGACAGCTGCTGCAGGTGTTGGAGATGAAGGAGACGGGGGCAGTTCATCATCGGTGTGGTCCACCTCGCCGTGCCCACCGTGTGGCTTCCACTCACATCTTAACCTCACATTTTCGGCATCCCTCTTGTCCAGCTGCAATGCAGAAAAAAAAACATCCTGTATATTACAATTTCAGCTACATTGTGGTGTACAGTTTACTTAAACTTTACTGTAGCTTCAACAAATTCAGGAAATGGTATACAGAGTACATGCTTCAGAGTGACAGAGGTCACAAGATGTTGCATGCCTTTGAATGTACTTAATGAAAGAAATGACAGCTGTTGTTGGAGAACAAAAATAAAATTAAGCTGAAATTTTTACTGCCTCCTTTTCCTGAATGATCTCTACTGACAGAGATATATTACTTATAAAGGAACAGGTAACGGGTTTATTCCATGCTGAAAACAAAAGAAAGGAAAGGAGTTTGTAGTTCTGTTACATATGTATATATGGATGTATAACCAGCGTAATAAAGTCCAGGACGGTGTGGTGACGGTTTCCTCAGTTTTGGGGTCCTTAATTCTGGACTGGGACACCTTTTGTGTGGAGTGTGCCCCTGCTCCATTCACACTGGTTTTCTCTGGGTGTTCCCACCTTTTACAAACATGCTGGGTAGGTTGATTGGTGTTTCTAAATTGTGTATATGTGTGCCTTGTGATGTACTGGTGCCCTATCTGATCTGTAGAGCTACACCTGGAGCCCTGTCTTGACCGCAGGTGGCTCCTTCTAAGTGCAGCCCTCCATAGGATGAATATCTGATGGACATTTGTATCACCTCCTTAATGATAATCTAGCTTTTAGAGGCACAAAGCTCAACGAACGCCTCTCCGAGATTTGACCACTTTTTATTTTCAGATATTCAGGTTGCAAGCTTTCTAATTCCATTCTGGTATCTAAAGAGAGGTTTTCCTTCCCAGTTTTTGTCTTCTAGGACTCAAGCCTATCTTAAGTGGGAAGCTCTTCTGTCTCACCCACCTTGATGGTAGCAGTAGTTCAGTGCTTAAACCCTTCTACAACTCGCTAGATCTGTTCAAACAATGCTTACAGCTTGTGCTCATCAGCCGATCTGGAGGGGTTTTTGTATATTTAAATTAACTGAAATCGATTAATAATCATACTCTCTTATTCGAAATTGAGGTTACTTATTAAAAGTGATATCATAAAAACAGTTTTCCGACCAAAATGACTTGAGGACTCCTCTCTTTTCCATTCATTCGTTTCTATTTTCTGAATGTACGATATACTTTAAAGTATACTTTTAAGGTACGTTTAAAGTCTTTGCCATTAATAGCTGAAAAGGCAAACAGTTATCTCCATACGGAGAAACGAGCACCAGCAGAATCGATGTATTTCAGGCTTTGAAAGAAGAACCGTTAAATTTGGAACGTCTGCAACTTCGGTCGTTGTGAATATAAGCAGGTTTATTTTTTTTTAATTATTGAGGAAACGAAATCATTGAGGTAAGATATACTGTACGATACTTGAAATCCTAATAGCCCGGAGTCTTTTCAGGGACAATTTCCACTAGGTGGCAGTATTTGACTTCAGCGAGTCTCCCTGCTTTGTTGTAATCCGTGCTTGAGGAAAAGGGCTCCATGGCTTTTGTCTGCCTGCCCCCATGTTTTTGAACCGTTTGGGCTGCCATAGAAAAACGGAGCAAACTGGAGAAGCGGGGATGGGGATGAGGGGGGAGCTTGTCAGCTCTTTATACTTCTTATCCGTGCAGTGTGGGGTTAAGATGGGCTTTGCCGATCCTGTCTGCAGACTAGAAGACCTTTAATGCAGGAGTACAATCCTCGTAGCCACATACCTCGCTCGGTACCGAAAACCGTTGGAGACCGGATTGAAAAGCGGAACGGCGCTATGGTACTAACTGGGAACTGCAGAATATTATTTAAAAACATATAATAGATGAAATGTAGAAGCTGTCATCCCGTGATAATTACAGGCTGTTCTGCAATCCATGGCTGTGTTATTCAGTTGATTTAAAGAAGGCAGTTTAGTATTAAAAGTGATAGTACGGGTTTCTGTACAGCTTTTCGTTATATTTAAAGTATGGCTGTAAACGTTGACTACATGATATCCAAAATGATAGGGTGAGACGGGAGTATTTTGACTTTTAAATGCGTAAACTAGGATAATGCTCAAATTAATGTTTAACTTCGGCATCTGGTAATTAACCCTTGATAAACTAAATCATAGTCACTTTTAAAAATGAAATTAATTCCAGATATTCTTAAAAATTGGAACAGCAAGAAGTTTTGAAAGATTCGTATGTTAATTACTTTTATTGTTATTAATTTTTAAATGGGCTACGGGATTGAAGGCGTTTCATTCCCGAGGCTAATTAAATTCATTAACGTTATTGCACTCTGAACAAAACACTGTAAGTTCGTTTTCGCGAGCAGGATATTTTTTACATTTTGCGGTCAGATTTGAATACAGTGTAGTATTTATTTTTCCTAAGAGGCATTGTAGAAGCCAATGTATTAAGACATTTACCATGATTTAAATATTAATATTACAAAAATTAGATTATATTCCCACGCATTTTATAGTCAAATGCGTTTTTAATTATATCGATATACTGTAACAATGGGCGACTGTATTTAACAAATTTGATTCTCTGGAGTTTCTGAGAAAGCAAGACCATTGGCCACCGCAGGCGTGCCACGCTTATGGTCACCGGGATAGTGTGACAGATCGACAGCTGAGTGTGTTTGTTGGCGGCTCTCTCCTGATGTTAGTCAAGTGTGTTTCCACCTCGCTTTTGCCATTGATCAAATCGAGAGGCAACGACTACAGAAGAAGCGGTACAGCATACAGGCTGTGTGTGACTAGACCATTGCAGAAGTGCTGACTGCGATGGAAATGGAACATGCACAATTTTACAAAAATAGATCCCATGGCAACATTTTGGCTTCCATGGAGCTGTCTGCGTCTCGCAGAAATGCACGGGAAGAATAACATTTCTTGTATACAATTCAATATCTACATTGCCGTGTAAGTATTGAACGCTCACAGTTTTCCCTTTTTCATTGTGATGTAAAGGCTTTCGGTAGAAGGATGTTCTGTTCTTTATCTCTTATCATCACCTTTAAGCAAGAGCCAGTCTTTATGCGCTTGAATTCCTGCACATGGTATTGACTAAGATTCATGACTGAACTGTGCAATGTTGTTGGTTCGAGATCTTAGTAGAAGGTAACATCGAATCAATGTTATCATGGGGTTCAATGTTTTAACGCTCCATTAATTTTTTATATATTTTTTTAATGTCAGATAAACCCCAGATCTGGACAGCTGGTAACCAGGACGACGAAAACACCCGGTGCAGTGGATTATTAGTCTTTTATTCTCAAACATTTTGGTTCTGAAATCCAAAATACATTTCAAGATGACGGTGGAAGGCTCAACAATTAAGAGTCGGATTAAAAATCTGCTGCGGTCTCCGTCCATCAAGCTGCGGAGGAATAAAACGGGGAACAATAAGGAAATTCTCGGGAATAAGGTAATTGTCACTTCAAATGACTTTTTATGTTTTGTTGAAACGGTGTGTTATGGTTTGTTGCATAACATCCGGGCAAAACTGCAACACCTGAGCAATGAAACACTGCTGTGGCATAGAGCTATACGTTTCAATTGAGGGAACCTTTTAAGTTTATTAATGCACCTTTATTTTCTTTTCAGTTGTCAGTCTGCAACAGGCAAATAAATTCGTCATTAGCTGACTGATATATTTTCATTGATTTTTTTTTAATTCTCTGTGTAACTTTATACCTGCGAGTCAGTAGTCCTGACGGGTCTTTGCAGATTTAGTCTGCGTTTGCACTGATAATGGATATTCGTGTTTCCTTATAATAATGGATGAAAAGCAAGATTAGTTAAATTCGTTTATTATTAATTTGCCTTGGAAAATGTATCCCCAATTTGCAGTTATTGTTGCTTTGTCGAGTTTGTCTTGTAGAAGATTGGCTTTAGCGATGCCGCCTCATTAAGCAAACTACACCGAGCTTCTCCAAAGAGAGTACAGGTCTTTTGCTGTACTGTATGTTCGTATTTTGTAGTTTTGGGTTGAGGTCGAGAGATTATAGAAATTGAATCTGTATACTCAGTACACTTTGGTAAGCTAAAGCCCCTGTTTTCTGCTGTGCTCTTATGTTTACCTGTCTGTGAACTTTCTCTCTTTTAATGCATTATGTAACCAGATAAGTCATTTGAGAACAAATTCAGCCCTGCTTTTTAAATTAGCCTTAGCTAAGTAAGCCTATCTGATACGTGTCGGGTATGTGGGACATTGCAAACATATTTGTCAGTCTACACAATATGCAAATAATTATTCTAAAACGTTTCTATACATCTAAAGCTGAAAGTATATTCAATCTTTCAAGAATTGGAATTAAGGTCATTGCTAAAAAACAGACATTGATGATAAATATCTAGAAACCATTTTGGATTTAACAGCCAACTGGAGTATTAGCTTTTTTTCACTAAAGTGAAGAAATGATCAGATAATTGTTTATTAATAAATGGAGACCTAAAGCTGTCAAATGGCAGTACTTTGGAATTTTATAACTTGATTTTAATGCATTTATAACCATGGAAACTTGCCATCACCCTGTCTGATATACGCATATATAAAAGGTTGCAAGCCAGCTTGGATGTGACAAGTTTTCCAGCTGATTCCTGAAGGTGTCAATATGTTACCCACTATTTGGGGTTACAGTCCACTGAAGTATTTTTTGAAATATGAATAGGATAGATCCTCTCATTGTAATGGCAGCAATTATGACCTACCTGTTATGTTTGGCTGTGGAATTACTACAGCAGGTCCTGTGTCACTGCAGGCTGTGTGTAGTAAAAGCCTCATAGTGTATGTTGTTAGTCCAGGGTGTGTGACCAAGTCTTTCTATGGCCATCACTCCTACTGTAGCTATGGCAACCCCAGTTGTGTGAATTCTTAGCACCTGGATTCATCTAGTGACCCAGATCTTGTCTTTCTTAGTTTATATCGTTAGAGTAATTGGGAATTACTTGGCCTGTCAGATTCCCTTTACTTAGGAAAATGTAAGAAAATATGAGCTGAAAAGAAGATCAGATTGAGAACCTACCTCAGGAATACTAAGCAACTGTGCGCACTCACATTTTCCTAGTACAGCAGAGCAGAGGTCTCAAACTCGTAGAGTACCTGGAGTGCCTAGTATCTTTGTTCCACCTGAGCTTTTGGTTACATTGTTGGTCTAATAATTTATTTGACTCCATAATTCATATATTTCTAAGTAGACACTAAGGTGTCTTATAGGTAAGTGCACTTTATAATTATATATTTTGAGTAATCAATTGTAAATGACCTTAATCCTAAACATGTAAATAAGACAATAATTAGGTTAATTGTTTGAACTATTGAGGATGGAACAGAAACCTGAAGACCATGCAGGAACTCTTTAATATCCCCTAAGCTAGAGACCACAGCCTGACTGATGTTTTTTAGTGGTGGCTGTCTTTGAATGTATGTTGTAACAGGTGTGTGTTTGAATAGATGGGTGTGTGTTTATGTATTATTTTTTCCTTCCTCTGGTCTAAAAAGATAGGCATTTCTTTAGAAAGGCCCACAAACACAGGTAAATGTTTGAAGTACTGGGGTGCATATAAAGGCTTCATTAAATGGTTAATCTCTGCTTTATCCCTCTTTTCAACGTCACTCACGAGGTGTCCCAAGAGTACGTGGAGCTTTTTGGTTACTTCAACCTCCATTGTCTCAGAGATTGTACCCACAAACAGTACAATGTGTTTCTTTGTTTGGAATTTATTTAAATGTCTACCTCAGGGAACACTCAGATATGGAATTCTAGCCACTGAATGCTGTTGCAGATGTGAGGATTGACTGAATGTTGCACTATTTTTTTGTTTCACTCTTCCTCGCAACATTTGCTTACGTTGATTTTTTTAAAAACCAAAGTAAAAACCCGTAATGTCTACTTCAGATAGATTAATAGTGAATTTATTAACATTCTTAAGTTGTGTGTATCTTAACCCGTGATAGAAAATACTGATCACGTAGAGCAGGAAATATTTCATGTTCTCAAAATAAGCATTCTCTGAGAAGTGAAGGAAATTGAATTTCTTGCTGTAAAGGGTATAAAGAGCTTGCTTTTGACATGTGTTTTCTTTAGCTATCCAATTGTCAGAGTTCTTGTACCAGTAGAGCCCCAGTTGTTTTTATCGCGTGGATGATTGTTTTGCAGTGTTTTATCACAGTCATGAAGGAACCAACAGCAGTCCTGTCCGTGAATTCAATAATGGGTAACAAACTAATGTAAATTCCAATTGTCACTTATTAGCCTATACACTGTATGAATCCATGTTTTAAAAGTTAAAACAGATCAATTCTGTGTTATTTTTAAGTAGGCTTTTCCCAGTGTTGAAGACATTTAAACATGTAAGAATGATCCTCTGGTATAGAGCTTTAGCCTAGATGTGGACAACAGTGTTGTATTTTTTAGACCTCTGTTGTCTTGGTTCAGCACAATGGAGCTGAGAATATGAGTCTTGTCTCCCAACCAATAATTTATTGTTCCGAACAGCATTTACAGATATCTTTAATGAGGAAAGATGACAGTGAGCTATTTTAAATGATAATTTCAGTGTTGAATTCATTTGCATAGTTTTTGGGATTAGGTCACAGTGATGAGAGAGGTATGGATCCTGTGAGAGCAGGTCTTTGGCTTTTCTTCTGAAGGGTGAGGAAAAATCACTTCTGTTGGGATTGTGCCAACATGCGTAAGGTAGCAACCCTACGTGCTTCAGAGGTGCTTAGTGAGACATTACTTTCTGATATCCTGGCTTGTTCTTTGTAAGCTACAGTACAGGCTGGTTGAAGAGACATAAGGCCTCTCCCCCAGCTTCACTCTGTTCTGTTATGGGGAAAACTGGCCAGGGATTGAGGTTGTTTGTTTGTCGTGCAATCCTTATCACTAGTCAAGAGAAAAAGTGAAATCGTTTTTTTTTTTATTCACAAAACTGTTCAATATGTGCTTGGAGGACTAATGATGAATAAGCTGTCAGCACAAGGGATTGGTTTTACTTTCAAGTAAGGATGTAAAACCTAGTGCTGTCTATGCTCATTCATCATCACATCCTCGTCTTCGCTGAACCACATTTCACGTGCTGAAGCTTGACATCTTCCTGGTTGATTTTCGTCTGAGGACAAGATAGAACTATCCTTTTGTTTTGTTTTTCCTCTGACTGGGAGTAATTCATTTTGAATTGTTAAAATAAGGCAAGAAAGGCAGTTCTTTAAATCTTCAGTGCAAAGTTAAAAGTGCAGTTGGTGTAAACGTTGAACGAGTGTTGTGTAACACTCTGAAGCCGACTGAGTCTGAGAATGAAACTCGATATTCCTTTTCAATATTTAAGATGGACGTAAAAGTCCACATATAGCATTTCTTTATTGGGATTTTTCAGCTGTATTTTTTATTATGAGTTACAGTGTCATTGTTGTCATATAAAACCTTGTGGTAATACAGTTTAATTTTCAGTTTAATCATTTATTTAACCTGCTGGGAAATTAAGAACAATTTCTGTATTTACAATAACAACGTAACTAAGCCCAATTTTTTCAGTGTTGCCAAAAGAAATAAAACTAAAGGTAAAATAGTTCATCGTTATTAACAAGTACAAAACCTGCTATCTCATTAATAGAGTAAATTTGAATTTCTTGTACAGTATTTCTTTCAGCTTACAATGTTGTTTTTCAAATGCACGTTTTGGAAATCCACACCTTGAAATCAATGGTGTGGAACAGCGTGCAGTTCTAATTTTAAATCCATCTTTGCTCTTCAGAACACAGTACATCAGAGGGGGGATAGCTTTTTTTATCATGGGGAAGAAGAAGCTCCCCTACAGACAGCACAAATGATGAAAGCAAGAAGTTCAAGGCTCTCCCTGCAGCTATACAAAAGACAAAAGAGTGTGTCCAAACATCTTTAATACTCCAGGTTCACATTTTTCTCTCTGACCCTGGGCTCATGTAGAGATCAGAGTTTGCTACTGTCCTGCGTGAGAGAGGTATGAACTCTTCCCTGGATCGCCATTGCCTGTGGCTCCGGTTACCTGCTTGTTCATACCACCTGTCTGCTGCTGAGTTATTGTGCCTCCTGGCTGTAGGAAAGTAATTATCACAACAATTCTCTTCACAGGGGGGTGGAAGAAGGATTCCCGCTAGTGTACTAAAATGCTGTATTTCAAATTGATATTCAGCAAAATATAAAACCAAATACAGGCTCTTCAATTCAGTCATAAAAAAAACAATATTTTTATATCTAACTAGTAACCGTGTCTAATTAACCACCAAGGGATATCTTAAAATTGTTCAGTTCACCAGTATAAAGACCTTATTGAGAATATATTGTATAATTTTGGTCATCATATAAAAAAAAAAAGATATAACTACTCTGAAATCAGTTCTTTGTAAGGTGCAAAGACACATTCTGGGGCTCAAAAGAATGAACTCCTCTGACAGACTAAAACAAGTAAATATTTTTAGTACGGAACAGAGAAGACGACATAGGGAAATAAGGCGTTGATAAATTCATCCCAGCAGACTTCTTCAGAATCAATAGTGAAGCATGAGCCAGAGGAAACAAATAGAAACTACATGAGAAAAAATAGAAGGGTATTCAAAACTGAGAATTGGAGACCTTTCTTTACACAAAGGAGTCTGGAACAAGCTACTCTGTCATATTTTTGAAGAAGACTTCTTTCAACAGCTTGCTCGGAACCATTTAGGTACATTTAGGTACAACCGAATGAGCTGGATTGGACACCTCTCTATTGTAGCCTTTCGTATGTACTTATATTACCTAAACATCACTTACAGATGTTCTACATGTACCAAAGCACACTGGAGGCTCATTAATGAGTGCCTAAGGGATATGACAGAAGTTTATGGAGCTGTAAATCTAGTATAAGATCACTAGAGAAATAGATATTGAATTTGTCGCTTTTCTTATTAAAGTACCAGGAATAGCACCTGTCTGAATCTGGTTCACATGTTTATTGAAGCTGCTTTACATTGGACCTTCAAAACTCTCTGCCCTAGTTGTGCTGCAAGTGTTATTATTAGGGGGTTACCTGGCATCTGTACTTGCCTTTTCATTACCTGCCGATTAATCACCATAGTAAACGAGCTTAGACATGATGAGATTTAACAGCAACCTTTTAGTTCCTGGTAATGTTCTGAGAAAAACCTAGCACTTCAATCAGTTTCAATGAAAAGCACAGCATCAATAATGGGACTCTTGCTCTTTAACCTTAGGTCTGTTCTTCAAGTGAAGTGTTTCCCACTGTGCAGTAAAACAACCTACAGTCCTGTGAAGGCAATTTTTGATTCAGTGAACCATTGAGATGAACACTGCTTGGTGTAGCACATAAATGTCTTTGAGTCAGCTCCTGAAGTTTTATTAGAAATTGCAAGCACTTGACCGGTTTCACATTTTGAAGTATATTCTAGTATTGACGCAGCGTTGCAAATTTTTTCTTAACTTTTTACGGCTGGGTAGAAATGGTCGTGTCTCTCTGAGCACAATCACTAATCATCCATACATTTTCACCAGCCATGTCTTCCTTTCCAAATGAAGCAGGGTTATTTTGGTCCTTGGGATCAATAGCTGCTCTCAATAGAATCTAGGTGGTCTTGAAAATGCCACCAGGTATTTTTTTAAATATGATGCTCTGGAAAGACATGGTTTATCCTAAGAAAACCTCTTTAATGCTGAATGAGGTTTACAACCTTAAGGGTCACTCGGATCACAGCTGGAAGATCTTTGCTGTGGCACAGTCACCCCTGTCTCCAGCGGACTAACCAGCTAGCACATAAGCTTTGTAATATCCAGTTGAGAAACAGTTGATCAGAAAAGCATCTCATACTTCAAAAGACGCATGATTATCCTGTGAGTTTCTATAAACAGTTTGGTGTTGGAGGAGGTATTATTAATTGGTGGTTATTAAAGGCTGATTGGTAAAGTGAGGTATAGTTAATTTCTTCTTTCATTATATGTCACCGTCACTTGGTCCTTATCAATACGTACTGTATGTACCATGTTACTGCTGTTTCTAGGAATATGACAGCTGGAGCACTGTAACACTCCATCATGTAAATCAGGCCTCCTACCGAGTTTAATTTACAGAGAGGAGCTGGAGATAACAGTTTTGGTGGAGAGGCATAGCTTTGAGGGTCATAGACGTTAAGGGCAATTACTTATGATACAAGAGGGCAGTCTTTGTCATATCCATCAATAACATTTACATTAAAGAAAGTTTCCCTTTTTGGGAGTAGATGCCATTCCAAAACAGATCTGCTGTTGAGTCTATTGAGGTACAAGGTTTTGTTTCTCTACATTAGCACTATACTGGGTGGTTCTCTGTAGGACCATCACAGAATAGCCTTTCATCTGCTTTGCGTAGAGAACTGCTTTCACAGTAAAAACCCTGAAAAAGAGGACCAGGCCTGGCTGAGGACCAGGAATTTAAAGCGTTGAAGCTGTCAGGAGATTTCATTAAGACACTGGTTTTGACTGTATTGTACTGGATCATGTAGCACAAACAGAATAAGGCCAAAGCTGAAACAGCAGTCTTAACTGTAGGCGTATTTGCTGCAGGCAGCAAGTAGTCTTTCTGTGTAAACCACAGCTATTATTATTGTGCTATCATTAGGTAAATATTATTGTTGATTGTTTTATTTTTAAAATGCTTGCAAAGATTATACAAATTGTAAACTAATACTACAGTTTAATTTTATATGCATTAGAGTATTTGCAGCATTTCTGTAATGTAGCATTTTTTATCTAGACACTTATTGTCTATTTGTAACTGTTATTGTTCATTAGGTCTGGTATAACTAGTTTCTGGACTTTGGGGAAAAAAACAACTACTTTATTTTTAAACTATAGGTTGTACAGGAAAAATTCCAAGGTGGTTAGGCTAATTCTGAGTCGCTGGGCTGCACTGTGCATTCTTATTGAGATAATTGTCCGTTGGCTACAGCAGATCGCGATGGCCATATTGACATACTGTAATGTCATGACTCATTCTGTTATGGTGTGGGATGTTACAGATGTTTCCATCCCATGAACAACATTTGCCTGATACGTTAAGATTGGGCTCTGCCGCCTTCTATACCAGTGCTCATCTCTCCAAAGAAAGCCATATTTTCTATCCAATGCAAGAGGCTGGACAGCAGAACTGTCAGTCACTCAATTGGTTTGCACTTACAGTATAAGCTATCTATTATTGGTCTATGCTACAGTATCCCAGGAGGACCACCCTTTACTTTGCCACCACTTTACACCCATGGGGGTTTTGAAAGTGAATTAAACTGTAAGTATGCAGTAATCTGACTGTCACGCTCTTTATTTTTTGTTTTGCATAGGAGTTCTCACTTATCGCTGTTCATTTGCACTTACCTGTACATTCTCCCGATGGCCTTGCTGCCTGTGCACTTACCAAAGATCTCTTTTCTCATTTGAGAATATTACAAATTCCTAATTCTTAGACAATTGATCCTAGGACCTTGACTATCTGTTCTGTGAAAGAAAGAAGAGTTTTGGTTTCAACAACGTGATTGAGTAGGTTATTCCACTCCCCCCACATCCCCTTTGCATTCTCAGTTTTAAATGTGCTTCCATTAGTGTATATGTTAGGCACATATGTTTGTTGAGTGGCTGTTTCAGTTAGTACTTTTGTATTCCTAAAATCGGTGTTCCTGACATTCTGAGTATTTGTTATACCTGGGTTTTTTTTGTGTGTAAGCTGGTGATTTCTGCTTCAGTACGCTTCCAGACTCTCACATGATGCAAAGAAAGCTAGCAATTTCCTCTGGTGCAGTCTGTGGTTTTTGTTGGTATATGAGGAGGAAGTCTGGTGTCTCAGCCCTGGTAGTCTGGGTAGTCCCCATCAGTGAGAATCAGACAACAAAGGGAATATCGCTTCAAAGCGCCCCCTTTGTTTTCTGTACCTTTCTTCATCTTTTGGGAAGTTTCTGTTGCTCTCTTATGAAACTACAATAAGAGTTTCCCACAGATGCGCTGCATGTTGTGTTTGCTGGCTTTGTATTTCCCCATTCCAGAACTACAGGAAGTTTTGGCTTCTCTTATCTGTTTTAGGTTTAATACAGGACTAGACAAGGCCTTGCAGAGCACATTGAGACTTGCCATCCTCAAGAAATACCGGCTTAGAAGATGAGACTCTGTTATGCCTTCAGCTTTTTCCCTATGTTTCATTTAAAAAATATAATTTCTTTAAAGTTAGAAAGATGTAATATTTTCTTATGGACTCAAGCTAGGATAACAGGGCTGAAAATAGTTCTAGATTATATATATATAATATATATATAGAAAGTGTGAACAATTCAATTAATTGGAAATTGCAAATATTTGTGTAATTTATATTAGTAAGTCATCTGAGCCAAGATCAAACCATTCCTTACCCCATTACCCATGTTTTTGATGTCTAAGTAGTTGTTGCTCAGGGTCAAAGTACAGCAACATACAGCAAGTAAGACAACTTGATATTCGGGTTCACATCTGCTAAATCCCCCATCAGCTGATATATATTAATTACGGGTATTATGAAATGAATTCCCAATAGCATTAGGTGTTCTTTGTGTCCATGTTTCCTATCAGACTGTACAGTTTTGACTTGTTTCTCTCTACAGCCATAGTGTTGTTGTTTTCAAAATGTCCGCTCTCTCTCGTAACAGTACCAGCCCCTGGTGAAACCCTGGGTGTTTCATGATTCCTCTCTGTCTGTACCAACAGGTGACACTTGAGAAAGTGCTGGGGATCACAACCTCGGGGAACAGCGGCTTGGCCTGTGACCCTCGCTCAGGCTTGATGGCCTATCCTGCTGGGTGAGTAAGCCGATTCCACACAGCCTGAAGGGGTTGTGCTTGTCAGGATAGAAAATTCCGGAATGGTACAAGAGACGTAGAAAGGGTCAATAGGGAAAGGCAGATACTGTGAGCAGAAGGGAGACATGAGAAGATAATGCACTGCCAAAAAAAATGTGGAAACTGGTTCCTTAGTAACACATTCCTGTGAGCCCATCTGTTGTCAGTAATTTTCAGGGGTGTTTCTTACTGCTTTGCTGTGTGTGGTTTGGCAGCCCGTGTCTGGTCATGAAAGTGAAGAGTTTGTAGTGGCAGATAAATATGCTGAGAGCGGAGCAGAGGTAGCATTGTGGTTTACAGCACATTTCCTGGCTGACATTTGGTATTTTTTTATGAAACCATTTGTTTAGCATGTGGGGTACTGTACACTGTCCTTGAGCAAGTGTGGGTTGATTTGTGTTGGAAAAACACAGTGCTACATGAAGCTCCACAATGCTCACTTTTTAACCATATACCATTTTCATTGTCATTTTGTTTTGGGATTGAATGTGTGGTTCTTTCCAGGCTACTGCTAACATTAGTTTGATTTATTCTTACATTAGTTAGATATAGTTGGAATCCCAGGTTGTAAATGCAATAGAAACCTGCTAGTTGATTGTAGAGTGTCTATACTGAATATTATGGTAATATTTCTTTGTTTATGTGAGGTCCTTAGTTCTGGTCTTGAAGGATGTTGTGTTGGTGGGATTTCACTTTAAATCAGGACTGGAAGAAGTTAACGTGGTGCAATTAAGTCCATAATGAGCTGGTTTAGGCTTTAAGAGCTCAGTTTGACTGAAATGCACCTGCCCTCCCGAACGAGGATTAGGGAGTACTGGTTTGTGTCCGTGGAGCGTTGGCATTACTATTTAGTTATGTTATAATGTTATCCTTTTCCAGATTTAGAATGCTCTGGTAAGTTTTGCAACCATAATGTATATTAATGACTTGTAGTTTTCTGTTCTAGAAATTGTAATAAACCATTTATTATAACATATATATATATACGATAACTCATTACGTGGTGCACATCCAAAGGACTGTGGGCCAGTATGTAGGTGTGACCAAGCTGAAGAGAGGTTCCAGACTCTACTGGAAGCTGATTCAGGTTTATAATAGTCCAGTACAACAGGAGAGTTGGAGAATAGTACAGCTCTTGAAGCCAAGACCAAAGTATAGCATCCCCCGGTAGCAAGGAGTTTGAAGGGGCTATTGGACGTTTATAATATTATTTACTTTTGGTTAGTTTTTTAATTGATATACATCATTCCTTCACTCCAATCCTAATCAACCTGTCGTAATTAAGTTCAAATCCTTAATTAGACATTGCAGAGTGTCTGTATTGCAGCTTTCTAAGTCTAAACCAGCTGTGCTTTGGTGCAGACCTCATTTTGAAAGGAGTTCTACTGATGTGGTAGGAGGGGAATGTTGTTGAGTTTTACGGTTTTCTTACTTTTTTCAGTTTTACAAACAGAAAAGTAATATAAAAAATGTTCACAAAAAGCATAGAAACTGACAGCATAGAAACTTGTATGCATTTACTGTAAGCCACAGGTTTACCCTGGGGTTGAGGTAGAAATGAGCTAACATTTTAAGATGATTGTAGCATTTATGTTAACATTTTTTTCTAAAGCATATTTTTTTGTTCTCAGATCTTGGTCTGTATATAAAGATACGTCTATACAGTTTCAATGCAATTTGTAGATATTTTGTAAGACATTGATTGATATAGCATCACTGAGCTGAACTGGAATTAAGACATGTTGATAGACTGAGAATCGAAGAGAAACGGAAAAAGGATAGAGAGTGAGGATTGGACAGAGAAATCCTATGGTTGTGAATAGTCTTCTGTCAACACGTCAGTGAAAAGTAGTTCATGTATTTCCTAAGGGCTATGGTATAGCATATCAACTTTGAGACCGCTTTTAACTGCTGTCTTGTAGTTAACTGCTGCCAGTCACTTTTTCATCTCTCTGTAGGAACTGGGATTATGGACGTTAATACACTAAAGCTTTGTTTTGCACAGTGCTTCTCTCAGAAAAAAGTAACATATGTAACAACATTAAGCTTAAAATCATCAGTAGGATAAAATGTGAGCAGTGTCACTGATGGCAAAATGACTGTCCTGTGCAATGATACATATTCAGTGCTTTTACCCATTCCCTTAATTGCTCAAACAGCTGCTAAAAAGACAAGACAGTGCAGTTCACAGCCCTCTGGTGTCGCAATAAAAATGTGATATCTGTGGGTAACTGCAAATGTCTTCATGAATTGCAGTAAGACATTTATATCATTGGATCAATAATGAACAGAATATGTGAGCATTGTTGCATTTTCACCTGCTTGAAATAAATATATACTTATTTCCCTAGAAGGCTGAATTTGTCCAGAAAAATCAAGATAGATGACAGCATCTTATCTTGTAGCCTGATCTCGGAGTTCAGAAAAGCTAGGTCTGGTTAGTTCTAGGATGAGAGACATCCAGAGAAATCCAGGTTGCTGCTACAAGTGATGTTGATGGGTTCGAAGTTGATACTCTTCTCATTGACTTGCAGTCTCTGAACCAGTACCCCTCTGGACTGCAGGCATTGTGCTATAGGAACTGCTGTCCTGCTTACTGGGTCATTGAAGTTCCCATGGAACCTTTCAAAACAGTTTGGTGTTAAGGCTGGTGTTCTGGTTAAATTCCATACTGGGTTTGAATAATCTGGGTTCCCAATGTTCTCCCTTAATTCATCTGTTGGAGCTGTTCCTCACTTCTCCCCTGATCAGCTGTGTGAGTGGGGCTGCTGGTTCATAATGGCTGTCATGTGTCGCCCAGATGGAGCTGCACTTCAGTGATCAATCAAGTGGGACCCCTCCTACACGGAATGTGGTGTGGGATACTTTGTGAAAGAAATTATAATTATTATTAGCTGGAAGCCAGAGATGATCTGCAATTCTGTAATGGGCTAAATCAACACCACCAAAATGTTGATTACAAAGTACTGTCATTACACATTCACCAAGGTGTCATACTGCAGCATATAGCACCCCACAGCAATAAAGAATTCTCTTAATTGGGAATGTGCTATCCCACTGCTCTCGTGATTTACACTACAGTGTAGACGCGAATGTAGCCAGCATGATTGGTCATATCTTTTTCTGAACAATGGTGACACAGAGCATATTCACACTTGTTTCAGAATGTTTTGATTTCCGGATGACATTTCATCCTTTCAGTGTGCAGCTGGCATTTCAGGTGGCTTGGGCTTGCTGGGGATGTATTGGAATGTTTTTCCATAAATATAAACCGGTGTTGGTGTGTTACCAAATGTAAGCTGTTTAGACAATGCAGTCCTTTGTTTTTCCACCAAGAACTGAACGACATATTTCGCAAAGGCTTTGCTGCAATGAGGGGTTTCAGAGCATGAAAAGCAAGTGCTGTCTGCTCAAATTAGGCAGAATTCAAATCTCCTTTAAAATCACTGGCACTTCTAATCCTATTTTGAGCTGGTTTAAAGTGTTTTGTAATTCTTCTTAGTCTCAGTATGCTTAAAAAAAAAAGTTCATACGTACATGAATTTGGAAGGGGTTTAGCTTTGAAGGTTAATTACAACCCTCAAAATCTTTATCAAATTATAATTTTGTACTAGTAATTAAATTAGTGGGACACTGCAGATGACTGCACAAACTGCAATTCACTTTGGAGTTTGACGCATGTACTATTTATTGAAAATGAAGCTTTTTAAAGCTTTAAGCTATAATAATTGGAATACTGAATATTGACAATAACAGTAAATAATAAAGTTTTATCAAATTAAATTCACAAGCACAAGATTTGACACTGTTTTCTTAATAACTGAAACACTTTGTCGTCCATTCTTGAAAGTTCTATATATATAGGAAAGGAATGAGCTCTATCATTTCCTGTTTTTTTTTTAAATAGACAAACGCACTAATTGAAGGGAAGGCAAGAAATGATGCCAGGCGCGACTACACCTACTGCAGAACTGACTCGTTCTGAAAGCAAACTAGCAATTAAATTGTACTGAAAGGCAGACCCTCTGAAGTTGTTCGGTCTTCTCTAATGAAAATTACATCTTGGGTGTGCTACCCTTCTATAAAATACTCCCCCCCCCAAAAAAAAACAAATTGATCTCCCAGATCTGAAGAGGTAAACGTATTGTCAGTCTTGTGACATTGTTGAGGCTTGCAAGGCAATGAATGGAGACACAGGCTCAGCCCCCTGTGTAACAGCTCATCACCACACAGTGATGGGAAATATACAGTACTGACACTGTGAGTGTGACCTTGCCCGACAGCTCTTACCGCCTCATTCTTGACTGGCAGACGAATCAGTCTGGCTTGTATCTGACGGGGACACATGATGGGGTTTCTGCCACTTCTTTCACAGAACAAAGTAAAGAAAAAGAATGAATTTTGCTTGTTGTGTTTTAAACCGTTATATCCATGGAGTTTCCATTCTGTCGGCTGCACTCTGTACAGCTTCCAGCCCTCTTAGCCATTATGCTTTGTGTTTATATTAAAACTGTGGAATAGGAGAACTGCCAGTGAGACAGCCAGACACAGAATGTGATGTTCACACATGTTGCCTCAGGAGCTGAGCTGATAAATGGCCAGGGAGTGTGCGCGGAGGGGGTGGGTCATTCTGAAGGGGAGGTAGCAAGATCACGCTTATTAGCAAATTTGCTCCAGCCCTCTGCAGATAGACGGAGGCAGTGGTAAGAAGTGACAGTTCTAACAGGGACAACTGAGTGTCAACTACTCCACATGCTGGAGAGGCTGGACACGAGCCGAGCCGCAGTATAGGCGTTATAGGTGTTTGTGGGTTCACAGGGAGGGTAAGGGCAGCTGGGGGAGGGAGGCAGAGTGGAGAAGCACTTTAACCAAGTCAATCTTTGTCAGACTAGATTGCTGCCTCTGCAGAGCAGGAACACGGTGCTCTGATAAAGACCGCAGTGAACAGAGATCTTTTCCAG